GCTTGCAGTGTTTAGCCAGAGGAGGGTCCGGAATATTGGGACTTGGCAGGTAGATTTGTGACCAAAAAATTTCACTTGTTTACCTGCAATAGTAGCTCTGCGCCCATACAATGTGATATTTGTTAAATAAACGTTTGAACTTTAGGCTGCTATATTTGTTATGTCTTTCTACTTCCACAATTAACAAATTGATCTTGCTGAATACTTTCATATTTCAATATATCTGTAATTTGAATTTTCTCTGTTGCGTGGATATGGTTCGCAGCTATTTGAGCTTGTTAGCTGTGTAACCGTTAGGAGGTTTCCTGGAAGTTGCCAGGATGACCACTATAAACAAGCTAGTGGCAACTTTGATGTTTGCATAAATTTATATCACAAAATTAGTTCTTACAGGTCGTGGTTCTAATCTGACTACCAAGTGTACTATTCTGACAGAGTCTTGGCATCTGCATACTACACTTCAAGTCAATATTCAGCATTGCCACGACATTTCAACATGATGCACTAAAGTTTATTTCTGATTAGTTAACTAATTAAACATTTCATATTTAGCATAATAGCAATACCTTAAATTTTGCAACAAATAAACTTTAATTTTTTTGCCCTATTAATTGGCTGAAATGTTTTGAGTGAGCGCATTTAAAGTAAAGTAGTAGAAGTTTCTAAATCCAAGCAACACAGATCCACCTTGTTCTAGCCAATTAAATCTTTTATCCTTCTAGGCAATTTCGAATTATAGATGACGACGGTAACAAGATGCTTGATCTGCGCGAATTTACGAAGGGATGTCTGGACTTTGGTGTTGATTTGACAAAAGAGGAAATAAAGGAAATCTTCGAATTCATTGATAAGGACGGAAGTGGGCACGTTGACTTTGATGAATTTTTGGCTGCTTTGCGGGTTTGTATTAGTTGCGTACTTTTTACTGATTTGAGCAGCCCCCGATGCCTAAATGCAGGATTGACTTAATTAATCAGGCTTTTATGAAAATGGACAGATCCAAGGATGGCTTTATAACGGTACGTTAATTCGGTGCACGAAAGTTTTTTAGATATGTGGCATAATTTGTCCATTATCTAGATATGCTATGACTAAAAGTTAATTGACATAGTGGCGAACCTTTACACATTTGGGAATTCAAGGACTTGGCTAGTTAGCAACATACTTTTACATTAACTACCAGGCTCAAACTACCGGTGTGCCAGACATGTCTAAATCTGTGTACTTCGAATAAGTACGAATGTTGCAGCAACGTCGAGAACTCACTTCTTTAAATTCTGGAATAAAAATATTTTGTACCTAAACATTTAAAACTAGACAACTTATGGCCTAATATTCAAGTTGGCCAGTCCTGCATTATGCTGATTATGATCAAGGCTGGAAATGTCTGCATTGTTACGGAACACGAATTCTAGATGCGCGTTTACGACTAAAAAAAATTTTCTTTATTATCTGGTAAAATATACAATTATCTTATCTTTGGAAACCACATTAGCCGACGGATAGCTAATGGCACGTCCCAGGTGCGGTGTTTTCGTGGTGCTCTGTTGCTTGCATGGGGCTGAAAACTAAATTTTGAACGTTTCACAAGAATTTCTCTGATAGACTTAAAGACCATAAATTAGCTGCTCTTGTCTATTGGATTTTCTTTACATGCAAGATTTTCATAAATAAGGATTCTGCATTCTGGAATTCCTAAGCCATATTTCTCTGACTTTCGCTTCAAGACCACTAGCAATAGTTTTTTTTTGAAATAATACTTTTAATCACTAATTTGCTAAACATTTGTAATTTGTTATATGTAAAGGCTGAGGACTTACGTGGTGTGTACAATTGTAAATTTCATCCAAAGTACAGGAACGGCGAGTGGACAGAGGAGCAAGTTTTCAATGAGTTTCTGAAGAAATTTGAAGCTCCCGATGAAGTGGATGGCAAAGTAAGAATGGTGTTTTTTCCAAAAAAGTTTTGCTAGAGTTTTGGTTAATCATGAATTATCCTAGATATTTGCTCCGGCATGGATAAGCAAATTAATGGAACGAATTTTGAGATATCAAATCAAATGAGCATAGAAATTTGCTTTGGAGCCTTTTTGCGGGCTATTTCTGATTCTGAATCAAAAAACAAAATGGCAAAACATGGGTGGTATTTTGACAAGCGATCTCCTTCTTGTCAAAGAAAGTTTTCTATTGGTTGGGTTTAGGAATTATTTCGATTACCGAGTAGGTAAGATATGCTTTAAAAGCCAATGATGTGAATTTTGAGGCAAACTAGAAAAAAGGACCTGCATTCTTCTTAAAAACAATTCTTTCATATTTAATTATCTTTTAAACCTTTATAACTAAGTAACAGTATGAAGACCAAGAAATAATATTATTTACCTCATCAAATCAGGTGCAATTATTTTCCCAGAAAATGCTTCCAACGCGATTAAAACCCCCTTCTGATGATTCAACATCCCGTTTTCGGAAATTTTCTGTCTTCAGTTTACTTCAACCAATAAAAACATCCACATTTTTTTACTACAAACCTAATGTTGTTTGAGCGTTTCATAACTAAAGTCATTGATTAGTCTAGAGAATTCTGTTTGTGACTTCGGCCACTGCTTTGTAAAGGCAGAGCTGCCATGGTTACCGCTAAACATAATTGTTTTGCCTTGTCCCCTAAGTGTAAGCCGTGCCTAGTAGGCACAAAGTGGCCCTAACCGTTAAGCATCCGTTAGTTAGTACTGCAGCATCCACTTAGAATCAGCCTTGTTTTAGCGTCTCTTCCTGCCCACTTTATAAGAGTTTATTTTTTGCCTTTTTGGCACAAAGTGAATGGACGTCGAGTAAATTCTTGAGCAATGTCAATAGCAGGCTATCATATTTATCCTGGTCAATCGGCCCAGATAAAAGCAAATCACTACCGATTTGCTGTTCCTGGTAGAAGTAGCGGATATCGGTGTGTGACCAGGTAGAAATGGCAGTTGTAGCAGTCTCAGCTAATGTGGTTGTACTTCGACAAAGAAATCAGAGAGATTTTAAAGCTTGACAAAATCAATTTCTTAACCTTTTTGGCCGATAACCACGAAATAAGAGGTTTTGCCTTTGTTCAAAGATGTTTTGACCATATTAGCTTGTGGTTGAATTTTTTTTCCACGCATCAGAAAGACAAACAGGAAGTCCAACAAAACCAGAATGGACTTGCTTAATGGAATGAACCTGTGTTTGCCTTATTCGCCAATTAATTTGATTGGCGCCATCCTCACGAACGCCAAGTAACCAATCCTGTAATCACTGTATTTTAATGGCTTGTAAAGAATGACACAGAACCTTTATTTTTTTAGGTTACAAAGACAGAATTCTTCAACTATTATGCAGGTGTCAGTGCGTCGATCGACAACAACGCCTACTTCGATCTGATGATGAGGAATGCCTACAAATTGTGATTATGTTCTAAAGCTTTGTTCGAATACGTAACCATTCACCACTATGTTCCAAAGGTCTCTTGTGAATCACAGATGCTATGCTTTTACTGACCTAAAACCATTTCGCTTTTTTTACACATACGACAGGATTGGTGACTGCCTCATTGTCCGCCATTTTACACCCTGAGGCTTAGCCTTGGATAAATTGGCAGACTAAGGACCCAATTTCTCTAGAAACCAGAATTATGGTCCACGAGAAGTTCAGTGGTGGTGTTTTCGTGACTGACTAAACACATATGGCCAATAGCGAAAATTTTCACAAAAATTTAGCTGGTTTATAGGTTGCTAGGTGACGTTTGTGACAAACCTATAGGTTCTACAGTTAGAATAGACCAACTAATGGAAATCCTGCTTGCAGGGAACTGAAAAATCATTTATTGAAAACTGCGCACTGTGAAAAGCTCTCTGCATCTGAATAACAGTGCCTCTTACGTAACACAAAGTGGCCATATGTCCTATTACTGCCACTTTGGAAGTGGAACGTTTAGTGGGGAGTTTCATAAGCCTTGGCACATTTCTTTCTCATTTGAGTAGTTAACAGAGGAACAGGCCTTAAATGGGGTTGGGCACTCGGCCATCCAGTAAAATAGGCTAAAATCATTTGATAAACGTATATTAGACAAGTGAGTAGACGAATTGCCGCCAAGTTAGATTCGATCGCTAAATAGTTACTCCTTTGGTATGATCAACATCTGCATTACTGCTGCTAGAATTATTTCAGAGTTAGAAGATTTAAAGGTATAATCACTCAATAATTAAAAATGCACGCCATTTGAGTTAACAGATCATTTCTTTGAATAAATCATAACCTTGTGACAGTAACTCCTTGGTCCTTACTTATTGCATAATGCAGAAACAAAGATATGAAATGAATGTGGGCTCAAGCAACACCACCGAAGTGCAATGTCGGTCCCCAACTTTTTGGACAACATCCGTTGTAATGACAATCGATTTTCTACGTTCAAAATTATGCTGGTTTCATGGGCACTGTTCCTTATCCAGTGGCTCCACGAGGTTTCCTCTGCTGGCGAAAACTGGGGAGCATGGTCTCCTTGGCCAGTTTCCTGTTCTGTAACTTGTGGACCAGGAAAACGTTGTCGCACTCGTCAGTGTTTTGATGGATTCGGCAAAGTAAAGAAAGATTCCGACTGTGTGGGAAGCAACACCGACTGTTTGACGTGTGTACTAAGCAGTATTTGTCCTCGCCAACCTGGGTGGAGTGCTTGGAGTGATTGGACCGAGTGCATTCTCACAGAAGACAAAACAAATCTGAAACCCGATTCCATGGGCTGCCTGCCCGGGACGAAAACTCGGACTCGTCTTTGCAATAACCCCCCACCAGATGTTGGAGTGAATGCCATCTTCTGTAGTGGTTCCAGCCGTGAAATTAAACGTTGCTCATATGGATGTCCCGACACTCCACAACTCGACGAGTACAGTGTAAAGGCCCGAGTGACGCAACAGGTCCAGAAGGATCACCTGGCCACTCGAGTGCAGAGAAAATCGCCCAAAGATCACTCTGAAATCGTCATGGTTCGCGCAGCTGGAGATCGAGTACTTCTTGACTGCAATACAGAAGCTTATAAGATGGTGAAGGAGACCTTGGAAGCGAAATCACTGGGGATTTCTCAGTTAAGTCTTCCAACAAAACGAGCAACCATCTCGTGGAGACTGGGTGGAAGGCCAATAAATCACAAGCGTCGGCCTGTAAAGGCTAAGGAAAAACGCTTAATCCCACCCATTCCTGATTTGTTTGACGAAGAAGAGAGGTGGGTGTCGAAACTTGACAGAACGCATATCCTTGTGCAGGGATCTCAACTCATTCTTCATAATCTGAAGCCCCACGACACCGGATTATATACCTGTCATCTTAAAGTCGGCGACGAAGAGTGGATGGCAACGTTTTTCTCAGTAATTGTTCTAGGCCAGCAGTTTTCCGCTCCTGCACTGATGCCATTTTACCTTCATTCCAATGTAGGTGAACAGAGTCCCTTTGAAGGAGGCAACCTCCACTGGTACGACGCTGCACGTCTCGTGTGGACGCATAATGGGGAACCGATGTTTAACGATCTACTGGTCCGTCCGAGAGCACGAATTCGTCTGTTGTCGCAGTTAAATAATTCGATGCAAGGACAGTGGGAATGCCACCTTCTCATTCCCCTGCCCAATCCTCCGACCACACAGGCCTCCAAGAACACCACGTTTACTTCCAGTTTCCTCACAAACGCATTTTTTCTACAGGTAACACCTAGGCCCCCGAGTCGGTGGGAGCTGGGCGACAGGCCTCCTCGCGTGGCAAGGCTGAGACTGATTGCTCTCGCAACCATGATATTTAGCCTTTCCCTTGTTGTGGCGGTTTCCCTGACAACCTGGGCGGTGAGGCGATGGGTCAAAATGACTCCACGGCTAGACCAGATGGAAGCATGTGTTGAGGAGGTCATCGACGATCGCACCCGACTCTTTTTAACGGCTAAGAAGCGGGCACGTGAAAGGCGACAGTGCCTGCAGCCTTTTCTGAGGAGTGAGATGAGGGAAATTTTAAAGTTGAGAAGAAATCCTCCACCTGAACCCGAAGAGCCGAATTTACAACCTTCTGAGTCTAACAAACATTTGACAACCCCATCCACTAACGATGCGTAGAGGGATGGAGTCGCGTCTGTCAAGGGTTGAGATACATACGTCTAATTCGCGAATCCACTTTGCCACCACAGTTGACATTAAAGAAGGATATCGTTCTGAATTTCGAGAATAATCACACAATTGATCAGTTACTTCTTTGTTGTAAATAAGCTGTTGCAAAACAAAGTGTTCTCAATGTAATGCAAAACTTTGGTTGTTTGTTTAGTACCACAGTTTTCTGACAAAAATTCTGCATAGTTTAGTATAAAAATTTAAAACGGATACTGTTAATGAAGTTAGTCGTCAAAAGCTTGTGCTAATATGTTTAACTAAGAAAGGAGATAATTTTGTTTCATTTTGATTCAAAGTCGAATTATCAGCGTGCAATAATTATACATACTGACTTAAGTTAAAAGTAATCAAAGCCTAATGAAAAACATCATCTGGATTTGGCTAGTCACAGATTTATCTGGCAAACCAATGGGGTTCCCAGTATTAATTTTTTCGTGGCATCTGCGCAATTCAAAGACACGACTAAAAATTTAAATGATGTTTTCGTTAATTAACTATATTTCAGCGTAAGTATCTGAAATGGAGTTACGATGGTAATACAGCTCTCATTGCTCTTAGTGGGAATAAAAAATGAATCTCTGTCACTTCTGCCAGATAACATATACATAGCTAACGGACAATGGATTTCCAGGAAAAAGATTTAATCAGATAGTTCAAGTGTTTCGAGAACATTACCAACTTGCCATCAAGGTACAGGGATCATTAAATTTTTTCACGGGGGTTCAAGCAAACCGAATTTGGCTTCTGAGATATGCCGAGTTGTCTGACCAGGCAGACGTCTCTTGTTACAAGATATTGCGCATAGTGCAAATGATTGTTGTGTAACCCAAGCCATTTTATCCACACACGCTAGTCTGGCCTGTTCTTTGTCCTTTCCTTTCCTCCCGCAGTCTCACCTTTCTCAAGGCACACCAGTGAGTCTGAGGGCAACGCCGACTCTCCTCACGGCCATCACCTTTCTCCTCCGCCTCTGACTCTCCCTAAGCCCTGGATCTCTGAATCTATATGCGGTAGTCTGGAATACATCTGATTTGTCCTGTTACTCTTCTACCGTATGCCTGATAGCAAACCTTGATGATGTGGCTATCTAAGAGGAATGGACTAACAGTTATATACCCATTTAGATACCAGCTCGGAAGGCGCGTTACAGTTGCTATATCCACACCTTTTGTGAAGGGCTTTATAAGGGCCAACAATGAGTACTATATAAGGATATTTTGGGTTAATTTTAGTTAATTGTCTTAGTTAGATTGCAAGGATACAATCACAATGAGTTTTCTGAGGTTGAATATAAGTTTTTACATTTAACATCTAATTTTTTTGAATAGTTTACATTTTTGGGATTTTTTTGCTATAAACGCTGAGAAAACGACTGCTTTTTGGACAATCAGAGGTCTTCTTAATTAGCCAATACGAAAGAAAGCGTGTTATATATATAGGACTCATGCTGCTCTTGACACATTCTTGGAAGCAGGAATAATTTTCGGAAACCATATGCATTCCTGTTTGTAGCTTCGAGCACTTCAGGGGGTGATTTTGATTATGCATAACACGTTATGGAGGCAATGATTTTGAATTGAGTCAGAATGAGTCAGGTATTAATAAAATGGCAGATGGATTAAGGACATCATTAAATGCAATGCATTATCAATACAATATAGAACGCCAATACGTCTATTCCTCAAAATTTTTTGAGTTTCCTAGTAAACTGCCCATCTTCTAAATTTGTCTAATGATTATGTGATTTTTTTCAACTAATTCGTTAAAATCAGTTCGGAACCTCCGAATCTTTCGATGCCTTGATTAAGACAAACTATTTCGGCCTTTTTTGAGGTATCGAGCAAAATAAACATTAGAATTGCCCCGTTATTTCGCAATTATTATAATTAAGAAGATCACGAAGACTTAAATGCAGATATATGAGCTCTTTGTTGAAACGTATTGCATAGGTCGCGGAAAATATGAAGGCATGCGCGTGTTTTATTATTATTTATTTTTTTCATTTTCCCACTAGGTTAGAGTTGTTTTTCTGTTTGAACATGCATCAGGTTATGCACTTTTGGGCACCAAGCTGCATGAACTGGTAGATGTTGTTGAACGTCTCCCCGAAGTTTGTGTTGACTATGAATCATTTTCCAGCACGTTTAAACTTCGTGGGTTTTCTCCCTTCACGTCAGCGGAAAATGCCCTCGACAATTGCAATGCAGTATCCGAGGGAATTGTTCATGATGACTTACAGCAGTTCCTCATATCAAGTCTTAGTGGTGAAAGACCCATACATCTCTGCGTGTCGGAAAGAAAGTTGGCCGACGCGTTAAAGGTTCCGGAAACTGGTCTGCCCGGAAATGTGACATGCTCTTCAGAATCAATTGCTGCAGAGGTGTATCGTCGAATACGTGAATTTTTCCCGCACTATATTGCTGAGCTTACTCACTTCGCTGAATCTCAAGCGCAAATAGGTCTTGGTCACAGTTACTCACGAGCCAAAGTCAAGTTTAACGTTAACAGGTATATTTTCAGTTTGAAGCATATTTTTAGGGATGACAACATGGTTATTCAGACAATTAGTTTACTGGATCAAATGGACAAAGATATAAATACCTTTTCAATGCGCATCAAGGAATGGTTCTCCTATCATTTCCCGGAACTAGCAAAATTGGTTCCAGAGAGTGCAAACTATATCAAGTTGGTTAACATCATACGCAGCCGTGAAAATCTAACTGATGAGTCTATACACGAAATTGAAGAAGTCATCCAGGATCACGAAAAGGCCGCCGCAATTCTTGAAGCTGCCAAAACGTCTATGGGTAGGCTTAATGTTCTTTCGGCATTTAAGCATGCTAGGCTTTGATATCACCGACCAAGACGTGGAAAATTTAGCCTTATTCACAAAACGCATTCAAATGTTCATGGATCGCCGCACAAAAGCATATGAATACCTGGTTAGCAAATTAACTGGTGTTGCACCCAATTTAAACACCCTCATTGGTAGTCAAGTCGCTGCTCGCCTTATTTCCCATGCCGGATCACTAACAAATCTCGCCAAATTTCCCGCTTCAACAATCCAGATTCTTGGGGCTGAGAAGGCTCTTTTCAGGGCCCTTCGTACTCGTGGACGGACACCAAAGTATGGACTAATATTTCATAGCTCCTACATTGGGCGTGCTGCAAAAGAGAACAAAGGCAGAATTTCACGTTTTCTTGCGGCCAAATGTGCTTTAGCGACACGCATTGACTGTTTCAGTGACATTCTATGTGATATTTATGGTCAGCATTTGAAACAACAAGTTGAGGACAGACTGAAGTACTTCGAATCTGGTGTAATGCCAAAGACAAATGCTGAAGCAATGGCCGCAGCCGTTGTCGAAGTAAGTAAATTGTGCTTTGTCGTGGACGCTCCAGTGATATCTGAGGTAACAGCTGTTGTGCGCATTTTATAGGCCAACAAAGTAATTGCGAAGCTGAAAAAGCGTGCGATTTCGACTTTGAATGGGTCTTCTTCGCCAAACCTCGATTTCTATAAGACTGATGAAGATAATCCAATCGCCACTGAGTTAAAGAAAAAGAAGAAGAAAAAGAGAAAGTCGGAGTGCGTGCAACCGAGCGATGGAGATCTAAACCACGAGGAGCAGGTTCAAACGGAAACGCTGGAAAAGAAGAAAGAGAAGAAAAAACGGAGTCTGGAGGTCGACATTGCTGCTGAAGAGGAGGCGCCTATTAAAATCCAAAAAATGGTGGAAGGGGAAGAGGAGTGCGCTGTTGCTGACGGATCAGTACTAATTGAAGGCAAGAAGAAGAAGAAGAAAAGGAAGTCCGAAGTGGCAGAGTAATTTTGTTGTGTATATATTGCGTGCTGATCCCTTCCTCGTTCCTGCCAATTCTAATAAATGAACGTCTTGTACATGCGTGCTAAGTGTCTTATTTTGCATCATCAAGGGCACCTTAACAAAAGACGGGCTGTGAAATCGGCTTAGCACAACAATGGTAACGGATGCAGCGTGTCTGATTGATCCGATTTGTGTTGATTGTGATTGGTGCATAAGGACTTTGGTCTTTGGTTGTAAACTTATCAACTGATTGTTAAGGTTTGTTAGTAGACATTCGGGTACTGACAACAAAATCAGGATGCTTTTGTCCTCTCTTAGGGTGGGACAGTGGAGAACTATTCAGTGGACGCACTCCTCGAAGCCTATGCCAATAAGTCAGTTTTTTAGGTGAATGGGGTGGTGCTCACGTCGGTGGTCTCTGCTTCTTCTTCATCATTTCCCATTAGCAACTTGTGATTACACGGTGGTAGCTCTGGTCGGCTGTTTGTATCGTTCTAATGAGCTTTCAAAGGCTCGCACGCGTCAGAATGGATAGGTAGTAGTGGTATCAAATATAGTTTGTCAGTACTGCTGGGAGCTATAAAAGGGTTCGGAGCTCTGTACAAAATTATTAAGAAGGTTGTGTGAGCATGTAGAAGGCAGGAGGTGCTCGCTATCATTCTTCCTCAAAGATTAAGTTTACTCAGATCGGGAGGGCGGGACAAAAGAACTGTGGGTCTGTTTATGTTCCGCCTGACCTCCAAATTGCTTTCAAGACTGCTCGACAAACTTTGGCTGTCGTCGCTTAGGGCCTTTGATTCATCACGAACTTCCTCATTAGCTGCCTCATCCAGCAAGGTAGGCACAGTAACTGCAGGTCGATCAGCGTTGCCCTCCTCCTTCTGAACCGCTCCACTTTCTTCGAGATTTCCCAGCTCGTTCTCCGCGGGTTTCGCTGGTGTCGCAATGCGGATATGTTTATTGCCTCTTTCAAGTGACTCTGCATTAAGGAATTCCAGCTTCTGGATGAGTGAGGCGTCAAAGGCTGGTAGCTTCACATGTGAAACCGATCTTAGGACGGTCATTGTACTTGAAATGATATTACGATTCTCTGGATTACGGTCGTTGTAGGCACGAAACATTTCGGTATAAAGTTTCGGAGGTAAGGCATCCCATTGCTCCTTGCGATAGATTTCAGGTTTGTACATAAACGGATCGGAGTCTTTCTCGTCTTCCTTTTGCTTTCCTCCCCCAGTGGTCTTCTTCATAGGTGGGACTTTTTTTGAGTCCAGACCGAGAAGAGGAGTTGGTTTGGTGACGGGCTTTGGGGGCGGCTTCTTTACACGTGGGCAGAGTTCCTTGGCATTTTCCTCTAGTTCTACAAGATTGTCACAAATTGCGAAAAAGATCTTGAATAAGTGAGTCCTGGTCATTTCCTTTCGACGCAGGATGCGGCACTGAAAATAGTGAATCAGGAATGGGTGTGGGATGTTGTAGAGAAAGTCTGCCAGAGTAAAATATACGTAGCCAATTAGGCGAAACTTGGGCTCCTCGAGGCCATAATCTAGTCGGGGAAAGTGGAACTCCAGTGTCCGGCCCTTTGCCATCTCCATCTCCGCGTGGAAGTCCAGCGCCTTACGCAGTTTCTCCGCGTGCGACTCGGTCGGACTCATGGCAAATGCCATCGCGGATACCAATGCCGTTACCATATTTTCGGCTCCACTCAACAAGGTGAAATGGAGTTTACGAGCGAGGAAGGCTATTGTAATACACGCCTCCTCAACAACTACCACATTTTCCACGTTTAGACAATAGATCAGGGCATTATAAAGCCGTGAAGTATGAGACTTCGCCCATTCTTCCAAGTCTTTAAGACGAGTCGGAGTGTTGGCTACTTCGCAGAGTTGTCTGAGAGCCTCAACCTTCTTGATCGTGCCCACCCGCTTGCCGGCTCCCACTCTGCCCTCGTCAATGTAATCCGTGATCAGACTCATGTTACCTTCAACTAGGTTCACTGTAGAAACCTTCTTTGTTGTTATGTACTCCCCGATGCTTGCCAACCTTCCTAGAAAAACACGTCTAGGAAGGCCCACAATGCTAGGGAGGCATTTCACGACGGCGTTCGTTTGAGTTTTTTCCAGTCCAGTAAGAAATTCTTTAAAGGCATCATTGGACTGTTTTGTGCGACGTTTTACTGCCTCCTTGACGACGTCTTCTGGAATATTAGCATTGTAGAAACTTCGCAAGACTGGCATTCTGCACACAACAAGTGTTAGCCACCAACCACCATGTCAATGCGTGACATTTTTTAAATTGCAATCGATCGAAATTGCGGGTTCTCGGACCAATGGCCATTGGAACCTTGCCTTGTGTGAAAATGAAGTAGGATGCGAAACCACGGAGCAGCAGAATGATTAAATTTAGTTTCTTAGCGTGAAATCAAACTAATTTTCATATAATAATTCAGTTTATCTAATTCTCAATTTCATCCAATTACGTTTCGCTATTAGTGCACACTGCAATTCTATTACTCATAAGCAATAACTGAGTCAAGTTTAATTTCAGGCCATTGACAGCAAAAAATTCCTTGAAATAAGTGATAACTTGGTGGTCTAAGGCCAGAACAATATGATAAATGCGACCTCAGCTTTCAACCCCTCTCCAGTAATTTCCCACTGGTTACCAAATGTGTGAGACCGCACACTACCTTGGTGAAACACAATGCCGTTGCAATTTGCCATTCCGGTAAATTTTCTCTGATGGCTTCATAATTTAGTCTTGTTGGCTGTTGAGAGTAAACACGTGATCTGATCTTTTGGTTACTTAGAAGTAACTCGGAATAAGTGGCACATTTCGTGGTACCACGTGTTTCGTTTTAGTTCAGCCCCATCCAACACTATATCTGTCTTAATTGATGCTATTGTAGACAACAAATTTTACATAAACTGTGATATTTCTATCCGATGGAGAGAAAATCCAAAACGCTAAATTCGTTGCGTGTTTAAATGACAATCCGATTCAGTTATAGATTTGAGCTGGTACTCTCCATGTTCGTTGGGTCCGCTAGTAGTACAAACTCTACAACTGAATTGTTTGAACCAATTGTGACAAGTGCGTTCCCCTAAGCAAGCATTTAAGAAAATAACATTCGTCATTGCACTCCACATTAAAATCGACCCTTCACTAGCAGTTGCAAGCAACAACTATAAGCTAAACTTGACATCAATTGCCAAATGGAAATGCGGAATAACATTGACAGACAGTACTCAAGACAAACGAAATACCACTGATAAAATCGCTGTTCTGTTATCTACTAAACCCTAATCACAGTCGTGCTATTGTGTTTTATCATTGATATCTAAGTAAGATCACCGCGCTCGTTAATGCTGCTTTGAAAAATGCACATAAATACGAATTTTCCAGTGTTAAAAGTTAACCAATACTTAACCAAAAGACGGGGTTCAAGAACCAATGTGCACATGCTCAGATTGGCCAGGTTGTTGGAATATTAAAAGGTTTCAAACTGTCAAGTGAAAACGTAGCCCTATTCCTCGCTGAAGTCGTGAACTTTACTGACTCTACAGAGCCTGTCAGCCATGGTCGACAGATTGATGGAATCAGGTACATTTAAATAATTGCCAGAGGACACGGTTTACCGTTGTATTTTTAAGAAGACCCACAGCGTAATAAAACGTTCACGTCACCGGTAATTTAAAGCGCAGTCACCGAATAAAAGGAGTTTATGTGAGTCAAGTCGTTTCATTTGAAAGAGCGAACTAATTCAGAAACCACTTGCAATCTCACGCAGCACAGTGACTGGACGCCAGCTTCGCAACTACCAAAGCCACGTTTCAACAATTTCTTAGTTCTGGATTCTATGTAGCACAAAAAAACGAAATAATAATCACCACAAGCGCATACAAACGATCAACCTCAAGTGGGTGTTCCCACGAAAGCACTCTGTTGTTTCATTAGGGAAATTTCAACCTTACTCTATTTCTGGAACCTACCAAGCCAGCAAGTAGGTTGTCAACAAAACACAGCAGATAACTCCTTAAAAGACTTTATTCGAGGGCGGTAGACTAAACGATAGTCTAGGGCTTATTTAATGGAACCGCAGCGCACCCTGATAGCTTACCAAGTTCCTGTAACGGCGGCCACTAACCTTGTCACTGAGATAACCAGGTAGAAATTACGGCAGCATGAAGTAGCGGTGTCCGGTTGGAGTAGCGCAGTGTAAACCCACTGGATCTGCTAAGGCCTAACAGAAGGTAGGGTGAATTCCGCCGATCCCCACCCTACCGCACGTCCATAGGCACATCTCCAGTTATCTTATGATCCTAATTGATCCCCACTCTTGCAATCGCAACGCTTAGCGAGTGAATAAACAGTCGCGTCCAGGACATTGTGTTGTCCCGGGAGTTTGAGGCCTAGTTTGCATGCAGAGCCGATCACTCGCCTTTCCACACCCTAAAGTACCGTGGGATCAAAACCTCCGCTAAACGATTGATTACATCCGCGTCATTCACATTTAATAAGTAGTGACTTACACCACCTTTGAATTACATCGGCTACCTGGATGGACTGACAGGGGCCCTGAGGGTAGCGCCAGTGTGTGCGTATGTGCGTAAATATTAGGTGAAAGGCTTTATTTCTCTCGGATTTTCGCAACCTCTAGCATAATTGGAAGCGAACGAAATGGGTGATCGTGGCGGTGGCGAAAACAAATACAGCAAACAAACAAGTACAGCATCTCACTCAACTGTTTCAAACATGGTTAGTGGCGACATGCTAGTGTTAAACTGAGAGAAAGCAGGTTGTCTAATGACGGCCTGAGGGGGAGAATAATCGGAGTAAATTACATTTACATGGCTATGTACTGGGGGCGGGGGGAGGTGGTAATCGAGGTCTTGAGGGGGGCCCACGACAGGAGGGGATGAGAGGGTGAAAAGGAAGCACGCATCGCGACACGCACACAAAACAAACGGAAAAATGCAGTTGTGAATAAAATTCAAGGTAGACTTGATTTGAAGATCACAGGTAGGGAGTACTAGAGTGGGTGTGGGGAAGTGGTGAGGTGGGGGAGGGGTGACGCGGAGAGGGGTCGTACGAAGGCGAATGACGGAGCCCGCCAGTGACAGATCGAGGCCGGGTATAAGATGGATCGGCGAAGGAAGGCGGGCGAAGAACGGTCACAACGGATGTTGTGTAATCTATAATTATGAAAGATTAGTAATAGGTAACACATATCGCAGACCAATGACAAACGTTGGTAGCAATAACTGGGGAACGAAAACCCATTATTAAAAAGGAAGCGTGGACAAGAAGTTGTTGCTGCACCTTTGACTAAATCATGATCAGGAATAGTACCTGCGAACAAGAAGAGCAGAATGCATCGCTGGAGCTACCTCATACACATGGGACCGCAGAGTTGTGGAAGGTTGTAAGTGTGTCAGTGTGAATTGCACAAAACGGCATTGGGACGCACACACATTGCGGTGCCAATTAACTTTAGAGAACTACAAAATCAATAGCAGCGTCTTGACAGTTTTAAGGTAAACAGGGACCATAAATGGGAGGTTAAAGTTGGAATACTTGCATGAAACACTGTCTGGTGGGCGGTGTCGATTGAAAAACACGACATAACTAGACGACCAAAGGTAAAACACATCTTTACCTAACAAGACGTAAATTGTTGACTAACCGTTGGCATTGGAAAACAACGCAAATTTTAGTGATGTTGATGAAGAAGGGAACGAAACTCACGTCAAGCCATCGAGTCTTTTCTCATGGGAGTTAGTCGTGGTTTACGGGTTCTTCGTTAACCTAAAGAGGAATAATGAAAACAGTCACAATAAACTGCCAACTGGACTAGAATGACCGACTGTGGAAATAGTGTTGCTACTAAACACTGATTTAGTAGAGACAGTTTAACTATCGGCAAACTAACGCTGGTACAAAACGCGGAAAACGGGGCCCTGGAGTAGGCGTGTTCGCCAGACATTCGTCCACTTTGTAGGTCGAAAACACACCAGATTAATCAGTTATGAGGGCGTAGAAATCGAAGGATTACAGAACGCTGTTGTGTAGTAGATAGCAAAGACAGTGGGTTTTAGACCCGCCATTTGGGTCAATCTTTACTCGCTAACACATGAACCCAGGGAAACACTACATCAACACAATACGGAATAAAGCAATCAAGTTAACTAACTGTTTGATCCATTTCCGACAGTTCCCATGGGGAAATTGGTGGGGGCTGGAGAGGGACGTTGCGAAGACTCCTGCGAATCATCGGGAAGCCTAAAAAGATGACCACAGATGAGGAGATCGTGTGAGAAAACAAGGAACTCTAGAAACCACACTTGGGACTTCCACACACACGCACACGCACGCAAAGGGACATTCCAATGAGTAACCTCTTTAACAAATCTAATTATAGCATTGTCGATTTGCAGTGCGAAAAGACCTTGCAGTAGGTGGGATAAAATTAATGTTTCGTATTTAATAGCATATAAACGACTTCCAATACAGTAACTAATGGATGTTAGAGAAGGATAAAGCGATGAAAACGTGCCTTGTGTCCGTGGAGACGCCACCAGTGGTGGCGGCGGACGCTGCAGAGTCGCCGGCGAATCGGTTACTGCCGCTGAGGAGGGACTGGAGGAGAGGGGAGGTGAATTTCGGGTAACCGTTTGAAATCCCGTTTTGGTTGGGAACGGTGGTAGACGAATCTGCAGGTTCCCGCTGGAAGGCATCATTGGAGAACTTGAACTACAAGCCGCAAAGGGCGGCAGCAGGGAAAAAGACACCACGTAGTAGCCCTACTAATTCTAGCAACCGGCTTCTGGCAATTCGACGGAGTACGCTGGGTGACCCTTATTTCCCGAAACACCCAACTACAGACAATGACCGGCATAGTGAGGGAAATTTGGATTTCAGAACACACACCGCGGTAGCGACGCAGACTTGAACCAATCAGTGCAACATGGCAGTGCAGGTGCAGCGGAGACGCCCACGCGACTTGCCACCAGGATCGGGGACCACAGAGTTAACCTCTGATATTGCAACAGGTTGACTGCAGATCACATAATACGAGGTCACGCCAGTTTAGCGAGGTCAATGGCAATAAGGTTTTTTACTGCTATGCAGTTATAAGCGCGGATATGCTAGGAGCCATTGGCAACACGGCAGGTGAGCCGAGGTCGGAAGGAAGTAAATGCTCACGACAAAACAAGCAATGAAAAACGTCCGCGAAGACTTCAAGTCCTGACGCTGCTTCAACAGTGTGACGTGTTTTAGAAACAAATGGTCTCGTGCAGGCCGTCTCGCAGGTATAAATATATTTGATCGCTAAGAGTCAACTGCATTCCTCTCCGACGAACGGCATTTCAGTGAGTAATGCGAGGCCTGGAAACACGGAAAAATTCGTCCGGGGGGAGAGGGGAATCAAGTCAACTCGCGGTGGGAAAATCGCCTCGACGTGGTGGCAGCCGGGACTAACGCAGGACATAAATATTACTGCTTTGTGCACACTACAAGTGCCGGCACTTCATACACATAAGACGGCCTAGGGGCAAGAACTTAGACGGCCAGAGTAAAACTCTGGCTGCTTAAAGACATCAAACAGACCTGGGAGATGGTAATAACGAATCATTTTGTGAAAACTGATTCGACTTGTAAGGCACCTTAATTCGAGATTTTTACTTTAGCTTTGGTAAAAATCAATTGATGATTTTGTGCCTCTACGGAGAAGTCCTTGAAGTGCTGGTTAATTTTGTGGAGGCGCACAAACACGCTTCAGTGCGGCAGCGAAATAAGTGTACCTGGCACAAGCTTGTTTGTGTGTGTGCGTGCGTGCACTGACACTGGTCCTGATAGCCGGCACTCGCCCAAATTCAGGACACAAAGAAACCCATCACATTGTGTAGGATCCCGATCGTGACTACGCTAGCTTAAGTTATTCTAGATTCGGCCGACAAAAGGGAACAAGTTCAAGCGCGACCCAATCCACCTCGATGCCGCAGGCTTAAACAGGCCGCTACACAGAAAATCGAAAATAACAAATGGACAATGGTCAACTTCTTTTATAATACGCACGAGATACAATTGCTAGCGGTGAGTGTACAGTCAGGAAAGGGCGGCGTTATAGGTCCCGAGAATTGTGCTGATCTACGTCCATCCACTCCGTCGCTGCATTCTCCGATTCACCCGTCAATCATGAGAGACCGCCCGCTTACACACACACCAGGGCATGTACCACCCCCACCACTGCTCTTTTTACCCATCTGGCCAGTTTTTACTAGTTCAATCAGACTCTGTTGGTCAACAAACACGTCTTGCACTGCCTTGACCACGCACAGGACAACAACAACACAACTAGGTTGAGGCGCCATCTCTGATCTTGACAGGTATCAGTACAACGTGAACGGGCAAATAAAACTTGACGGTACCGGTGCGATTCGAGACCACGTGACGAGGCTCTTAACATGCATTCGCCTTCTGACAGAGATGTGTTGGAAAGGGCCCAGTAAATGGAAGCAGTAAGATCGGGCGTACCCCATAAAAAAGCAGGTGGTGACTAATCACACGAACACTTCGCTTCGACGATAAACGCGATCGAATGGACAGGGGACACTGTTGGTAATGCGCAGAATTCAAAAGGCCTGTTAATGGCGGGACAAGTCTTTTTGGGAGGAAGTGCGGCTGGGAGAGGCGGTGGGCTAGTTCCGTGTGAGTTACTGAGATGTCGGCTCACAAACAAAGCGTTTAGATAAAGTGACACAAAGCTTTCTACAGTGCTTATGAATAAATGAATTCGAATGTCACAAATTCCCACCATCAGACACGGTGCCAGAAAGACAATTACGCGGTACGACATAACAAACATCCAAAGCACACAGCTCTGCTTCGTCAATGGGCCAGTGTCAGTGGCCGTATCGACTGGCATTATTGGGTGGGTTAGTTGCTACGATCGTGTATGTACGATTACAACAAATCCGCGAAGAACTTACACCATGGCCCAGTGAAAAGTGTACCGGGGGTTGTTTCGGCCCGCCTTCCGTCGCAGGCTGATCGCCGCCAGCGTTGGTAGCACTGGTGGTCATCATGCCGGGCAGACTGTTGGAGCTCTCTGAGTTGGCCACACCGCGGCTGAGGGAGCGATCGCTGCGGTTCACCCGCGACATGATGCTGTCCAGACGCTTCTTGCGCATTGCACGCTCCTCTTCGGCCCTGCGGAAATTCTCCAAACGCTCGCGTTCAATCGCTTCAAGCTGAAAAGTCGGAGGTGGAGTGAGTTGGCACAGGGCAAAATCGGTCAGATAATGGCCCACAGGGGAGTAAGAGCACATCGACGTTAGTCAAACACTACAACTTGACAAATAGGTTAATTCCCGCACCGCTTTCGACTGCTGACACATCGTGACAACCTGCTTTGCCATGACAATTCAAACAGTTGTCAGGATGACAAGATAAAGGGGAACGCATGTACTACTTTGTGAAGCTCCATGCGTGGACGAATAGTCAGTGGTTTTGAAAAAAAATGTGAGGCCAGTGAATGAAGACATTGTGCCTGATATCGCTAGTAAGCCTTTCGCAGGTAAAAAGATTAAACAGAGTAATTAGAGGTTAATTTGGATTAAGCGGGCGTGGCGGTCACGGAGCGATTGAATGAGTCAAGCGAACGTGCAGTTTGTGTCCTGCAAACGAGAACGCACGTCGATTCCTGGGAGTAAACACAGCAGAGAGAGAGAGAGGAGTTGACGCCTGAACACGTGCGTGTGGACACAGCAGAAAATAACAGAAATTTTGCAAACGAATAAAAAAGGCGTAACAAGGTGTGGCTAAAAGCTCCTCGTGAGAATTGGGTTGTTTAACGATGTGACAATAAAATGATCTAAAAGACCAATAGCTCACCCCTCATAATGTTATCAGTTTTCACCAAAGTCATTCTTTTATGAAAACTGACGGGAAAATGAGTTAAATTTAGACTATAGGTAGCAGGAAGGCAAAAGCCAACTGCAAATTGGAAGAATGTTGTGGAAAAGTCAGGAAGAAAGGTACACTCGCACACCAACACACACTGCTTCGACAGGGCAGTTGATTAGACAGAAATTATGTGCTACCAATTAACAAGACCGAACACCACGTGAATCTATCACTGCACGAGAAAAAAAAGCGACGCATACCTTCGCCACATCGCTGTCAGTTAGTCCAGTCATTATTCTTGACCAGGAGGTCGTCTGAGAACAAAGTTGTGCGTCAAGTAAATTACCACATCAAAATACCCACTACCACAAAAAAAGGCATGAATGTTAGAGTGAAAGCGCAACCCAATTCACCGAAAAGCAAGGGAGATCGCCGATTCGGTCTTCGTCATCGTCGGTTAGCCGCCTTATGAATCTTTCCCGGGACTTTGGTTCAAAAAATTAAAACACGGTTATGTGAATCTCCGCTGATAGGCTATTTGTTATGAGAGAAAATGCCAATTTCTCCTTGTTTTGATCCACTAGAGAAGGGGATTCAATCTTTTAACCATCCACGGAAAATTACTGGGAAATCTTGTCAACCGACTACCCGATTTCTTATTTCGGGGCTGAACCCCAGTTTTGAAGAGAATTATTTATGACTCAATTAGCAGTACACCAGCATTGTACCGTAGTTGACAGTTCAGAAGCGTAATAATCCAGCTGTGCCCCAAAGCAACGCGCCAATAATTTGAAGCAACAATGACGGAGACAGCCAAGACGCAGCGCACAAGGTGACCCAAATTGTTGACCCATTTGAAAACAATGCACACAATACAGACGCCGTAGTCGGATTACGGACCAAGTGCCAAGAAAACCAAGTCAGATAATCAGGCGACCAAGGATCGTCACAGGGACTCTAACGCCGTTCTCGACCGACACGCGCAGCGAAAAGGGCACAACAGAGAGCGGACATACCCTCTGACGCTCCCTCGCTGCCCTCTCCTGGGCCTCGCGTTCAGCCTGCAGGCGGGCCTCCTGTTCCGCGGCCTCCCTGGCCTGGCGCGACTCGGCGGCCAAACGCGCCTCTTCGATGGCGCGTTCGCGGGCTGCCTGAATCGCCGCCTGACGCTCCGCCTCACGACGCTCGTTGCGTTCCCTTTCTTCTTCAGCTTCTCGCCTTGTGGAAAACAACACAAACACAGTGAGGTTTAGACTGGTTCCCAGCCTGCTGCGGAGCGCGTAGAGACCATTCGCATCTACCCAGCACAATATTTCTCGCGCTTGCCCCTTACCAGAAGTTGAGTGCAATTGTCTGAACCAGCAATTCAGCTGTGTTGCAGTCGAAGTTTGTGCGCGCATTTTGCAAAAGCTATCGCAATGGCATGGTTACTTTGTCCAAACAAAGCCAGTGACTGGTGAATGTTCTGTTTTACCGAGGGCGACTTCTATTTAGATTGTTTCACTACAAGCCAGCTTAGTAAATGCACTGACCAGCCAAGAGGATGTACTTTTAAATCCAACTATTTAAACCGATCATAAATTGACCGGATCAATCCACGTCGAGATTATGAGATAAAGTACAAGATGTTCGAGGGCTGGGCTGCACTTACCGCTCTTGTTCTGCAAGTCGTTCCTTCGCGAGTCTGCGTTGTTCAGCCATCTTGGCACGATAAATGGCGGCTTCCTCCTCAGGCAAGCACCCGCCCTCGCCGGAACCTGTTGTGGACGCCTTGATGGGCCCGCTGGGAAGTGGTCCCGGCGGGGGAGTTGGCTTCCGGGGTGCCTGAACGGCCTCCTTCTCTTCCGTGGCGGCCGCAACGACGACATTTGCCGGTGACGGCTCCTCTTCGCTCGGCTTGCGGTCCGCTTTATTAGCATCATCATCATCCACCACTGTTGACGTAACTTCGGGCTGCAACGAAGACAATAGCTCAGCCTAATGTGCTGAATAGCAATTCGAGGTTAGAGTGCTGTGCTGAGCGGCACTAGTAGGTATGACCCATCACGACTGGACACAAACAGCCTTAAACTAGGCTTCATGACCGTTGTGGTTGTGCTCGATTGCATTAGCCGATAGATTCTAATTAAAATAAACAGGTGCCAAGCCAAAGCCACACGGACTTCAAGTAAATTCGTGTTATGCAGAACCAAGACAATAAAACAAGGCACCAAATTAAACAAGTGACATGTGTTGACGTACCACTGCTTCCGGTCCATCTTCGGCAGGCACCGGCTCCTTCTCTTCGCTTGTTGAATGCGCAGGTGCCTCGACTTCTAGTGTCTCTTCGGGAACCGATGTCCCCTCGAGAGGCGGCGAGACAGCCGAGTCGAGCTCAGCGGCCAAACTCATTGCAGGCGGTGAGTGGGGACCCTGCTGTGGTTCGGCAGGCAACTCTGCCTGCGTGCTTTCAAGTTCCTCTGCGAGGCTCGTGGGTGGTGCAGGAGAAGGCCGCACCTGAGCAAGTGTCGACGCCACGGGCGATACAGAGGGCATCGCGGCTGGTGCTAAAGTGGAAGGAAGGACGCTCAAATGAATACAGTAACCCAGCAATTACACTGGTACATTTTAGTTTTCTTCAAATGATTTTATTAAAACAACCTAACAGCCTAAAGACGGACTACTGAGTGATGGGAGTGGGAGGACAAAGGTGCCTAGACGCTGCAAGCTAAGCACGCGGGAATTAGACAAATGCGACGTCGCAAGCCATGTTCAAGCTGTGTGTAGTGTCCTCGTTAGCACTACCTTACAGCTCTGCTAGTTGACAGCCCGTGATAGCCCGCGAAGAAAGGCAAGGCCGATGATAGCGAATATCACGTTTTGTTTACATTTGACCACCCAAGTCTTCTACAGCACAGCGCGTGAGAGATTACCGAACATCAACTGCAATCGACAATCGGTGACATTCGGTCAACTCATGAACACGCTTCATTCAGGCTTGTTTGACGAAAGTTTACAAAATGTACATTGATGCATGTGGTAACGAAGGCTGTTGGAATTAAATTGCCGCGGCAAGCGAATGTATCGGAAGCAATGTAGTGGATATCAAAACATCACTTCCGATACACACACGAACACACACACACACATACACGTGATGATATGAATAAAAGTCCCACAAACCCTCAGTGCGGTGCGAGCCTAGTGGGCCAGTGCTAGGCCAAAGCACTTTACTAAGCCATTGCAACAGTTTGCCAGATAGGAGCCTGAAATGGGGTGACCTCAATTACACTAAGTGCAGATGACCGTTGGTGCAGTCAATCGCAAACTGATTTACTCACTGTTCAAACAAACAGGTTTTCACACTCAGTTTTGCCTGATGTTACCGTGGTAATTCTGAATATGCACACACAAATACGTGGGTGTTAATGAAGACGGAGAGCCACCGACAAACAAGCGAGGCAAAACAGGAGGGCTGAGGAGTGCGCGAGCCACGTGAGAGGCCACTAATGCAACCACCGCTGTTTTGAATGCTTAAGCACACTATATACTTCAGCAAGAGTGGTGTCCATGAGCAGCGCTAGTTTTACGCGAACATCGGATGGTCGACATATAAACTGAAAATTTTCCGTACCGTGATAGAGCGAGTAACCGAACAGTGGATTACGAAAGTCATGGGTTTGCTTGGTCTTTCAACGTGGGAGGCCACAACAACTAATCGACCCTGGCTTAGAATCGGACCAGATAATCCAGTACGTGGACTGGCGTGTTGCAGTAATTGCTGGAAGACTGCACAGAAACAGCACACATTTCTACTACCTTGTCTATTAGGAACCCGAGAAAACACCACATAAGCCCCTTGAATTGCCACGAAACCAGATTTTTGTCTAGAAAAGCACTATCGCAGAAACTTACGCGAATCAGGAGTTGGTGTCACCGGCTTCGACTCCGAGGACTGTTCTGCTGCCATTCCAGTTTCGGCGGGTGTCACTGTCGCAGGCTTCTTAATCGGCACCGGTTTGGACTGCTTGTTGGGTACTGGCTTAGAGGCAGTTTTTATGGGTTCAGGAGGTTTCGCTGTCGTTGTGGGAACAGCTCTTTTCTGGGAACGACCTCGTCCTTCGAGTGCGTTGGGAACTGATGGTTTGCGGTGAGACAGTGTCGTGGAAGTCGAGGAAGCCGAAGAAAAGTTATCGTGGGCCTGTTTTTGGTCATGGGATATAGCTCTTTGCCGGTTTGCAGAGGCAGTTGTCGGCGCCGCATAGCTATTACAACGGTCACCTAGAAAAGTGTTGCGGTATACTTGGTGAAGTCGCAAATTGTCAAAACAAAAACTCAATTTTCACCCTAAGGAGTCGGCAGCAGCACTACCTTAGCTCAACCGGAATCACGGTCTGGACGGGGTGTCTGACATACATTTTTGTAGCGGCACTAATGCAAAGCCATTATGTGCAATTTGGCATTATGCGAAAAAATGTTGATGAGGTGTCTGGATAACTAGTCCTTCTATTCACTCGACAAAAATGACAAGAGGAAGTGCGTATTTTTCGTAGTTGCAATCGACAAGTGGCACACGACTGGATAACTGACAGAAGAGTGATTCCTGCACACTGGTTTTGTCGACAACAGTGTACTCGGCAGACGGCAAAAGTAAACATGCAGCACGTGAAAACATGGTGATATCGCCAACACAATCTGTGCACACGAATAGCCTTCAAGGGTGGCGCAAACCATTGTTCAGATGGCAACTTGCGACCCTGGGCATAGTTGCTGGAACCTGTCACAATAATTCCACACAATCCGTGTACCCTCGCAAAATTTGCCAGCTAAATTTGCAAATGGAAAATTTGAACGAGCTCAATTACAATTCGCGTCGGTTAGAGGCGATGAGCCAAATCGGTTTGTGAATGATTCAAGGTGTGATGGCAGATTACCGTATTCAATCATGAGTCATTCTGGTGATCACTACGTAGCGCAGAGTGAACTTTTGATAAGTAAAAGTTGATTACGCTGAATAAAGCCGTGCGTAAAATGCGTGGGCGCTGAACTCAAGCCCAACCATTACTAATACACACACACGTGAATCACACAGTGTAATAGATGCGAACACGAACCCAGTAATGACAACACCTGTCGCGGCATGTAAGAACTGCAGGCCACAGGTGAAACGGCGGTTCACTTGCGTGCTGATTTATTGATCAGTGCACACGGAGTGACGCACGCGAGCGGGCGCGCGCGGACACGCTGGCCAGCCGGACAGATATGAGCGTGCACGCAAGACCGCCGCCACACCGTTGTGTGACACCACTGGCAACCGTAACAAGGCGGAGAAAGTCATTTGAGAGGCTCGTCAGAGAACTGTAGATTGAGAAGCGTGTTGGGCTGAGCACAGCAACTCGATTGTTGGACGAGACTGAGTCGTCTTTTGAATTATGTCAAATACGTAGCAACTAGGTCGGCTGAGGAGGTATGGACGGGAGTGGCGATAGAAACCTCATCGCTTGATCAATAGGGCTAACAGTTTTGTAAAACTTGGGAGTCGGCGGAGGTGAATTCTGAGTTCAGGACTCCTGGAATTCCAGTAAGATCCTGATCCACTCCGCGGACTTTTCCGTCTTGCTTCGGGTGCTTCCCGTCCAATAATTTAGCCAAATCTGATACCGCTGGGGCCCCCAGTGTGGCTCTCAAGCAGCACTGGGGGCCGAGCAACCTAAGTTGACAAGGCCGACCGAAGGAAGGGAAGGAGTGCCGAGAAGGCGTAGCTCAAATAATTTAGATAGGATCGATTAATATCGATCCTTGAATGAACAGAGTTACGTGAAGTGCATTCACGTAAACCGATTGAGTCGTGTTCGCTCGCTGTGTTGAAAAGTCGCTTGGCTCGTTTTAGGAGTTGGCCCTTAACGTCAGAGTGAAGACGATATGTCTGAATTTCTTGCTCAAAATCATTGTGTCTTCCAGTAGGTCACCGAAAACTGTGTGGTGCCAACCTGCAGTGAGAACACCGGTCACCACGTCTGCACGTTCTGTCTACTCTGCCAGGAGGAAGATGGCGATTACCATGAATTTGCACCGAGCCAAAAATGAAGGAACTACTCGGCGTCAAGTGGTCCTTTGTAAGAACCATTGTTTTTTATCGGAAAATACAGGTTATGTTGGAAACCCAACTGTCACTACCAAAAATGACCTGTGCCCGAAAATCAACGTAGTGACGACTCTTCTCGTGAATATACGGCATAAGTAGCAACTCATGCGATATCGCATGCTAGAATTAATTACAGAGGGAATTGGGTTAGATTTACTACTCAAAATTTAAAAAAAAATTACAAACGGTAAGAGCCATAATTTAAGAATCTCATTTCAGAGTTCGTGCTAATGTTATTCAGATTTGGCGTTAGGGGAAAGCAGGAAATCGGTTCGAGGAAATACATAATTGTAATTGGCTGAATTCACATTAACATATTGTACAGCGTGAAACTTCGACTGTACGTCACGATGCTCGATTCACGCAGGCAAAATGCCGCCTATCCAACCCACGAACTCGAATTAACAACGCAAACAAATCAGAGAAGGGTTTTTCTCAAGCCTGCCAGACTTTGAAAGGCGAAACCACGGAGAAAAGCAGACTAAAGCGGTTAAACTTAAACCACAAAACTTCCATTTCACAAATTCTTAAAATTAACAGGGTCAAAAACACCGTGACGAAATCAACCAAGCAGAAGAGACGAGGTCGGGGCCAGATGAACACGCACCGAAGCACTGTTGGTTTGTGGCTTAAATAACCATTAAGCACGGCGACCTTGTTGCATTAAGGGTAATCCACAGCGGGTACGGAAGTGCTGCGTGCGTGGAACTAATGCGATCGGATTTCGGAATAGGTGATGACGAAACACGTCGCTAGACGGTTCGTGTGCAGCCGAAGAGTTATACTGATTACTGCCCGAAACATGTGCACGGCGATTGCACACTTTACTGTACGACGAAACCGAGGTTAACAAATCCGGGCATTGCATTTACCAACTTGTCTGGCAGTCAATGCACGCTAATACACCGAAATGCCAAACAAATCTGGCCTAAACACAAGCTGAGGATTTGTTAACTCGATCGCAAGACTTATTCGCCGGAAAACGTTAAAATTTAGTAGGACAGGGGTTGCTGTGTTGAGGATCGCGGAAAATGCGCGCGATTCCAAGGTCACTTCAAGGCCACAAAAACCGCAGTTCGGCATGTGCTACTTCTGTTCATGGCCAGCGAATTCGCGTCAGGTTAGAATAAAAGCTAGAAGAAGCAAATACAGATAGCTCCTAATTGTTAGACTTAAGTGGCAGCCACAAATCAACCCTGGGAGATTCGAGGATATATTTAAATAATCTGGGGATTGATTGTAGTCTGCATTATTCTACAAGACCACGAGAGAGAGCGATAGGAATGAAGAAATTGCAATCATAGTTGCGGTTATCGATACGAAAAGCCAAAAGGCACTTGACCATAGCTTAGGAGTGACGCAAAACAATGATTAACACGTAAAAAATAACATGTCAGACTCAAAACGATCAAGAACGTCATTTCTTAGGTAGGGTTAAGCTATTCAAATAGACAGAAAGCAGGAGTGCATCGCTTGAAGAGAAAACTCACGAGACACGCCAGAACGTCCTGGAACAGTCCGCCGTTGTGGAAGAGTACCAACGCCTTCGGTGGCCGAGTTCGGCTTTACGGTTCGGGCAGTTGGGATTTCTGGAGGTGGAGCACCTAAAAAAGAAAAAAAAATAACTAATTTAGCCCACCATCGTCACTACACGCGAGGGATGCAGGCACACTGCAAGACATCTGTGCTCTTAAAACACCAAAACTACGCCTAGCATTGTGAGGTCTACATCAAGAATTCCCGAAGACAGAAGCGACTTACCAGACTCGCTATTCTGTATTATTGTAGCTCATTTGTGCAAAAAACCTTTAGTTTAGATAAAAAAACTTGCGCAGTTTTGAGAATTTATGCATCAACTTCGTACCAAGGGTCTTAATCCCACTCAAAGTTAATTGTGAAGTGCTGGACTTCTTGTCCCGAAAGTAATGTAAAAAGATAGGCGCCAAGTACCGGAACATTCTCATACATGACAACTAAAGTGAAACATGAGTTGCCTGTTACATTAAACCCCACAATCACCAACCGACTACAGGTATTTCGGAACCCAAATAGAGCGTGGGTAAGTGAATTCATTAGTGGGGGAGGGGTTGAGTTGGTTTGGGCCGCCTTTCGTTGAAGTATGCTTACAACGTCATTCCAAAAATGCCAAGTAGCCGTACCTAATCACACTACAGAATTCCGGGGAACGATACACACATATATCTTCGGCAAAACATACAGGAAGGCTCGATTCCTTATCAGAGAAGGCCACAAAATCAGCATTTGGAACTTAAGAAGATACAACAATGTGGCCATCAGTTGTGGATTAGGTATCTACAACTACGAGGGACAAATGCATGCAAACGGGGACGATTTCCCACTCAAATGAAGATGGAAGTCATGCACAAACAAATGGGTAGATTGCATATCACTCTAAAAAACAACGCCAGCATTGCACACTATGAGAAGACTAATGAGAAGGTAGTTTCACAACGATAAGCAAGAGACTATAACCGTTTTATGAAGGAACTAGGATCTCTGGTAGAATTAAACAACCTTTCTACATGGTTGACAGATTTCTTCCGAAGTGGTCGACGCGGTTTAAAAGATGCGTCAACCGACACTAAAAATATGACATGGTAGCACAAATATCACCAATTAATACAGGTTCGGCCTTGCCTCACATCACCTTCAATGAGTCATGCAAAGTGGACCTTAACTACAATTATTTGTACAACTTAATAGTAGGCTAGGCAACGGAGGTCTTAGAAAAAACGAGTAAATCACTTCCGCTGAAGAGGCGGTTGTGTTAAGGGAGTGATAGCAACTCGGCATAATAATACACGGAAAACAGAGCTTTACATCTAAATAGAACAAAAAAGAGTGATTCAGAGCATCTCTAGTGGAATGGCATATCTACTTGAATAGCGAAAATGGCATGTTGTATGAGCCAAAAAGGTGCCTCCGAGGTAATGTAAGCAGGTGTGTGCGGTGATTGGGCCGCGAGTGGGGACGAGCGAGTCTGCAGAAAGCACAAGGACTGCATGAAGCACTGATGAAATCAGAGGGCTTTTTAGTTTACTAATTGGAGTGCCAAGTAGTAGGCGTGGGGCCAACACGATCAGGCAAATATTGGACTGGAGTTAAGGCATTTGAACGCCACGCGTCACCCGGCTGTTAGAGTGAGGAATCCGACGCTAGGCAGTCCAGCCAATTAATAGGCAACAAGGGAAGTGAGCGAATGCCGGGGTTGGTGGTGGCGGTGGTGGTGAGCGTCCAAGTGAGAGGAGGGAGGAGCGCAGCCAGCGAAAGCCATCTGTGTCGCTTCCTTAGGCAGGTTCACAAACACGCGCACTTCGTGCTTACCCTTCACTTTGCTCGCGTAGGCGATAGTTGGCACGGCAAAGTGTTGAATGCTCGCCGCCTTTCGAAGGGGTGGTAATCCAGTCGCGGCGCGCTCTGGGGGTCTCGACTGAGGCTGCGGTTGTCTGCTGGCACTGGCCGCTCTCGGGGCTCTGGTTGTACCCGTACCAACTAATCAAATGATGCGGGGTGAGAGGAAAAGATACACACACACAATCAGAGGTGCGATGAGGGTACCGATGGATGAGACAAACACAGACACACATAAACATAACAACGAAACACAGAGAACACAAAATAACAATAAACAATGTCCGAAAAAAAGGAGTATACCCAGTTTGTACCAACCGGCGTGAGACCAGCATTATCCCTGACTCACAGGGTTATTATATGTAGCAGAGTAAATGAAGACTGTTTAGTCACCTGAAAATCACCAGATGAGTCTTGGCAGTGGTAGGAATGTGATTCGGGTTAACGGCAGCGCATTAAGAAGCATGACAAGTTATAAGTTCGTGCGCCTGCCTCCTTGCCAGAGATCCACTTTCTTACTTGCCAGTCAAGCGCTATCAATTTAATTCAAACAAGCACGCACCAGCATTTTATAACCAGATATGCGTGCAGATGACTCTAGTATCTCGTAACCAACGCAATCGTAACAACCGGCGCGTGCTCAACAAAGTCAACACTATTGCACCTTATGAGGTAATGCTGCAACAGTAGAATTCCGATTGGTTAAATTTGTTCAGAGCGCATCCCAAGCGGAAGCCAATCAGGGGAGCATGGGTACCCTATACGGCTCGAAATGCAAACATACAGGCGGGGTCTGGTGTTCCGTGACTATGGCATAGCTAACTCTTTGGTGGATCTAAGGCGTTATTTAGCCGGAATCGTCAGGGCAGTACTGGGGGGAGGGAAGCGTGAGGCATAGCGGCAGTGTGGGCGAAGCAACACGCGGGCCACTTGTGAGTGTAGGCGAACTCACACACACAGTGCCTTAACAAACAAAAAACTACAAAACAGCAACATCTAACGCGACAGGCATAGCGGTTGCGGGGGTGGTATCATGACCATGATTGTGATGCTGATGATGATTGTAACGGGCGACCTCGAGCGGGGAGCCTCTCTCCATTCACATACATGCATCTGAGAAGGGAGAGATTAAAAAGAACAGGCAAATAAACCAATGTCAATTGGGATTTCGCATAAGAGTTAAAATGAATCAGTGCTGCAAGGGGGGTAAATAGCATGCGCCTTAGCTTAACCAATAAAAGGATGATGCCAACGATGAGGCATTCGGCGACCAGCAAAGAAAGACACGAAATTAATGGGGCTTCGGGATCAGCATCAACACAAAAAACTCAGGACCTCAGTGCGCACCACTTAGGCCCAGACATTGGACACATTTAAACATATTTTACGTTCCACAGACGACAGCATGCATTTCGCAATACGAGAGCACTCGAACAAGGTTCAGAAAAATGTCGAACCGATAAACTTGGACTGATGGTAGACCGCGTTAATAACGCAATGAACAGACGATTGTGATGGCCTAGCACAAACAAGCTATGGAGTGTATCATGTGAAAAATTGGAAACGATACGTAACTGCAAGACAGGGTTAACTTAAATAACGCATCAGATGCCACGATTTGAGAACGAAGGCGAAGGCGCAAGTAATGAGCACACATACGCATAAGGTGTTTTGATAGAAAAGGCTTACCACGACCGGCCCTAGTGATCGGGCTACCTTTGCCAAGGGTCGGAGTAGCCATGTTGTGTCTCTGAAGGCCGGGGTTCGCTGAGGCCGCCCGACGAGGCGCAGGTGACACCGCTGTATACGAGTGCCGTTCTTGTTGTTGATGGTGCTTTCGGATAGGATGATCCTCGGGCAACAGGTCTGGTTTCACATATAGCGCGTACGTCGTGTAAGCTGAAGATTGGGTAAGGAAGCAACCACTATGCCTGCCGTTCAAATAACTAGCTAGCCTGGCCTCAAAGGCCGCCTGTGAACGCAAAGCAGCTTCATTAGCCTTCGTACAGATGGAACGAGGTGTTGAACTGCCAAAGGCCACTGTGAAGGACGTCGCCATGCGATCGCTGGAAGCCGAGGAGACAGTGGCTGGTTTCGATGGACCTGAGTGCATGTGAGAGGCACGCATTATGGTCGGAGGTTGACGGTGTTGATCGGAGTTTGCGACTGTGCGCTCGCGATTACGCTGAAGCAGAGTTTGCATATGGTCCTAAAAAGGGAAGAGAGATTGCAGTTTAGCTTCGGTATACCACTTCTATTGATGATTGACATCTTCAGGAGTTGTTAAGAATCTTCTAAAACTGCGTATTAAAGCCATTTCAGACTCGTGACGCGAATTTAACATCTACAGCATGTTCCTCATTAAAAAGATGAGTTCAATGAAAAGCAATTTACTGTAAGCAACTGTAATAGATCTGAGTGCACGAGAAATAAAGTTATTGCGTAAAAGCATTAACACTTTGTCAATCATATTTGAAGTAATAATTGTATGATCGTAGGCAATAACATTGTTTTACGACAAGTAGCACACGACGATGGATGTAGGCTTTAACAAACTACAGAACTCAAGTGACGAAGCGAAAGTACGTTTAAGAGGGAAGATATCAAGACGAAAAACGACAAGTGCAGCGTTAGTGGAGATTGATGCAAAAACTGTTTCGAAAATTCTACACATGCTTGAATGTTGCGTCATACCAAATTAATTTTCCCTTATGTGCATGAGCAGGGGATGCACATCACGACGCCGAGTTGAAAGCAAGCCTCAAAACAACCCAGATATACTCCATGCAATAGGGGAAACTGACAATCAAAGTCAGGCAGTTTGAGAATTTAGGTCACTGGATTATATACTTTAAAAGCGTGGTACTGAGCACCATAAAAAACAAATGGTGAAGGCAGTGCATGCAATGCCTATGTAGAAACAAGTGTTTCCTCATGCGCGTGTAGTAAAATGCTGCAACATACAAATACAACTTTTCTGCAAAAATACACAGCTTTGATGCAAAACGAAGCAGTAGATTAACGTGAATCTAATCCATGGATTTTACGGACGAGTACTTTTAAAACAATTGAGATCAATGGCATATCACAACGATTTGTGAATAAAATCCCGGATACAGTAAAAATAACTTTAATACAAACGGTGAATATATAGGTTAACCGGTAGCAAGCATTGATAAACGAAACAAACCCTGTATTGGCGTTCTATTTCCTTTTTAGTTTCTTGAGCTTTCCGCTGACGAGCTTCTTCTCGTTGTCGTGTTTCCTCAATACGTCGCTTGCGCTCTTCCTTTTGTTTTTCGCGTTGAGCTTCGGCTCGTTTTTGCGATTCAAGAATCTGTAAACGTCGCTGTTCGGTTTTTTGATATTCGGCTTCCGCGAGAAGCTTCCGACGGCGTTCTGATGTAAGACCATTATTTCCGCCAGAGACAGAAGAATTCGTCGTAGACGGTTGCTGACTATATTCGCGACTTAGGTGTGCCGGTGAAATAGACAAATGGTCGCTCTGGGGTAAGGGTTCTGCAATTAGAACGCACGAGAAATTAAGGATGGAAATCAGGACAATCAGTATGGAAACTAGTCATTCAATAGCAAAGATAACCACGGAAACAACCATTAAAGAGAGAACACAAGTTCAAACTAGAAGTTGCGGTTCCAGTAGGGGTACAACATATCTCCTTATTTGTTATTTGAATAAATTGGAAAATACTCAGTATTTGTAGTTCCTTAAAACGATATCAAGGCATGGATTCTGTTATATAAATACCTCTTAATGTATACCAACGTACCACTAGTTGAAACAACATCATTCTCTTTGGATTCCGAAGTGGAAGAAACCACAGGTAAATCCTCCACCTCCGCCATGTTAAAGCGCCAGATCTATTTCAAAACACCGGCTTGCTACGGACTGATCTAAACAAAATATCAAAAATTCAAACAACAAGTGTATTTTAGAGTATTTAGTGACATTTTGGAAGGGCTTTAGTAGGCACCTGATCTTAACGAATAACAAAGTTGTACATCTATGGCACTTTTAGGTAAGCAAATAATCATTTCAAGTTTTCATCTTTCATTATTAATTTAACTAAATATCTATCCTACACTATTATATAAAATATAATTGCAGTGCTTATTTTTTTTACACTCTTTTAGTGTGATTAAGCAAGTATGACAAATGCTAACTTGATGCCGACCGCATTGGTTCTATTTATCCTCATCGGTGACTTCACACAGATGTCCTTCTTTGAGGCACGCATATATTATTGGTGCTAAAAATAGATAGATGTGGCTTTTTGACATTTTGTTTTATATTAGTTTGCAGCAGTTTTAGTAGTTGGAATTGTAGCTGTTCGTATGCTTGCCTCTTTTATTTATTTATTTGTAATTTTCTTCTTTGAAATGACAGCCATTTAACATTTTACTGCATTTGAATGAGTGTCTGTAGACAATCGCATGCAGGGATAAGCTTATTTATGAAAACAGTTTATCTTTTTTTGGTACGCAGCAACTCTATCATTATTATACCCTAATCTGGAATATTTGTCCTGTGTTATAATTCACAACTAGCACTTTTTTATTGCAAATACTAATAATGCGAATTCCACTGGCTGCACTAACTATACACAGTAGAGAGCTTTAACATTAATTAAAATCCATCTTAAATCTAATAATTAATTTATTTTTCCATTGGACTCCGAACCTTAGATTTGAAAACTTACGATTACTTATGAATGATGGTTTGAAAGTACGCACTAATTTTGTTTCAAATAATCGCACAAAATGTTTTGAATTAACCTAGTGGCTGCCGATCAATAAGTTGTGATCAAATCAAATATGATTGTGGAAACTTTTCCCATTAATCAAATGTTCAGTGCTTAATTGATTTAATTTTCTATGCTGAAGTTACAGCGGATATTATATACACCCAGGTCTACCTTCAGATTTATAATATTACATTGTAAATCGTTTCCGATCTAAACAAAATCTCCTGCTTTGGTTTAATGCCTAAGCGTATATTTAGGCTTTGAGAAAAATGCGAGTAATTTGATGAGGTAAAATCGAAAAGATGCTTTGAAAAAATACTTTTTTTTCTCTTTCATGTCTGATTATTATCAAATACTGATTTGCTGTCAGAAACCACTGCAGTGTTTCGGACAATTTTTTTGGAAACAACATTATGGAAAATTTGAATCTGTTGTGTTTTGACTGACTGGCACCATTGTCACAGACAGTATTCTTGTGAGAATGATAAGAATGTACGAATGGGACCACCACTGACGCAGTTTCATTTATTTGTTCTCATATTTTATCCAAAAGAATCTGGGTGGCGCTCAAACCTGTGGGAGGCATGTGGCTAAGTACAATCGTTGAGATTGAGTGGACATCTAGAATCTAAAGAAATCGTGAGTCCAGTCATGTGTGAACCGATGTGGTGTTCCTTAATTCAAGGAAAGTGTCCACAAATTTTTTAGCGGTAGTGAATTTAGCTAGTAATTATCTAGGCTTAACATTGTAGAAGTATACATGTGACCCACAGCCTAAGGTTCTGGTCTATGATATGAGAAAAAGATCTGTCCTATTTTAAAATAGTGTCGAATACCCGAGCCCTAGTATGGAGAAGACTGATACAACAGACAAGGCTTCATTGACCAATCACAAGCCAGAACCATTCGTCAGGCGCCGTCAATCGAGTCAACCAAGCTGGCTACGCCGCTCATTTTTAACTGCTCCTCATTCGTGTCTTTCTCTGGTTGGATACATATCTTCCTTGCATGCCATTAGGAAACGGAGACAGAGACAGACCAACGTGGTCCAATATGTCTGCGCCCTCAGTCGTCGCTACTCTGCATTTATTAGCATTCCTTCCACTCTCATAGAAATAAAATAATGAACAAAATGCTGTCTACTTTTTTTTACATAACTCTATCGATGTAATCTCACCAAATCATTTCATTTTAAATATCTCGAAGCACCAATTTTTCATCTTATTCGTCAAACAAGGAAACATATGCAATATTATTAACCTTAGCAGATACAACACAGCCTCTATTTTCATGATCAATATTAATATTAAAGACTTCCGAAAATCTCCGTTACCCAAAAATGTTTAACCTAAGTTACCGTAACAGTGTTGAAGTGTTAATTTCAGTTGAAGATTTCAATTATCCTAAAACCATCGGTCTTGTCATACCTTGCAATCATTTTCATGGTGTGCATATGTAGTAATGTAGATGCAAGCAGTATGCAGGATTGTGCTGACGTGGAAAAAGTAGGATGAAGACACAAATTTTATTTCTTTTGAAAAATTAGACACTGAAATGATTTGTGATTGCCTTGAAAGCAGTTGTATTTATTTCAGTGAATAGATATCTGAACACAAATTAGACAATTAAATGAATGACAAAGGTTCTTGAAAAAGGCTCGAAATAAGAACAAATAATAAAATTACGCAGTATTATAATTTTTGTTGACAGAATGAAATATGAGGCAGCCGCAATGCCGATTAACGAATTTTAAATACCACTACCGCGCACTTCGTCATAGCAACAAGGACATGAAGGGAAATGCCGTCACTAAGTCTGCAGTATACCATCGGGATAACCTAGGGTCTCCTAGTGCAATAGTTTGGGTATTAATACAATGGTCTCTGTGTGATTCGCCTTGACTTCATATTGGCGTCACGGTATTGTAGGTCAAATTATAAATTCCAACAAAGAAATGAAATTAGGGTACTTTGAAAATAAGTTTGTTGCTGATAGCCCTGAAATGTTATACTTGACTGGGTATCCAAACCTGGGCTACGAATACTTGTGTTGGTCGAACCACCGGGGAAGCCTACCAGTTCGAAGTGGTACCTGAACTCATGCTTGGCTTTTTCACTACTTGACACGAAACTGCTTCTCCCAATTTCGGTCTGAGGCGGTTTCCGCCTTTACAAACTATCAAGAAATCACCTATAAATTGTAAATGGGGTTAATTTCGACGTACTATGATATAAGATTTATATCAGAAGCCATTCAAATCTGCCACTTTAGTCGCCAAAAAGGAGGTATCCAAGGTAGATCTAAATTCTTGCAAAGAGCACACAAAATTACGCTCTTAAGGTCACCTAGTTTCATGCCTGCTATTCGGCATGCACTTAATCAAGAAAGTGGCATAAAAATAGCACGTCTGCCATGGAGCACGTCAAGGCCATGTGCTATCAGCGTTTTCGCCCGTTGGCCAGTTGAAACCTTCCGTCAACGTAACATCGAGCTTCTCATACCAGTAAGTAAATGGCCGGGAAATATGCAATTAAGGGTTGAATTCAATTCACGAACATGAGCTTTTACTCATCGATTGACGTTTTCTTAGCTGACTTCTTTGTATGATTTAGTCTAGTAGGAATTAGGAAAACATAGCCAAACTTTTATTGTCTTCTTTGCATTAAGATTGAAACCCACCGCTTTTGTTAAAACCAAGGGCAATGTAAAGACAGAAACTTACGGTCCTTCATGGAATTTACCCGAAAATCGAGCATTATTAATGACCGGATCACTCATACAATTGCACAAAGAGCAGAACAGAAAGGTCGTTTAATTCAAACTGCTATTTCACTTTTGAGTATAAGTTAGTACAGAAAAAGATATGAGATAAGAATTGAGAACAATGTTGATTTGAGAAAAAAGTAGTGGAGAAAAGTAGTGCCTGATGATGGAGGATGGTGAAAGAGAGAAGTATATACAACAACTATTACTGCAGAATAAGAGAAGGTCAATTTAACAACAAAACTGGGGACTCCAGAAAGACACGCACATACCGAGCGAGAGACGGAGGGAGAGGGAGAGGTGACATGCGGG